TGCCACGGCAACCGGCGGCGACTGCGATGAACCCTGAGAAGTTCACAAGAATAAAATTTTTTGTTCCTCCAACTCCGTGCTCTTTTACTCCCGTTGTGGTTGTTCTATTTTTTGAACAAGGCAATCTGCTATGTCGCGCTCCTGTGCGTGGTGAGCAAAGCTGCACCCTCCAGACGAATCGTTTTGCCTGTTTGAATGGGAATATTGGAGGAGTTGGAAGGTTTTATATCATTTGGTATAAGGTCTTACCTCCGCTTGGATCCATAGGAATTTCGCTGTGATCGACAAGTTGATGCACATCGATAATTCGCCACATGTCGCCACACGCTGCGCTGCCCACCAATACGCAAAGGCTATTTCTGTTACGAATTCAGTTTTTACACCGCTTTTCTGTTTTTTTTTCACTGTTAGACAGTATTGGCATTCCATAAGATGCGATCAGTGGGCCAAGGCCGGCAGGATATCGTTTTGTTGGCGTAGAGCGAGCACGTCCGCAGAACTTGTACAGTAAGTTGCCAGCTGGGTGTTTTCCATGATTTTTTTTACTTTTTTCTGCCCTGGAGAGTCACTCAGTGACTGCCAGTTCGTTATTGAACGTCACTATTCATAACATGCAATCGCGGGTCTTGCCTTCAATTCCCGAGCCGCCAGTCATTGAGAAAGCTGAATGTCAAAGCTTACATGTGATTGAACACCTCCTGTGTAGCGATGACCATGTTTTTAAACTATTTCAAAACTCAGTTCGGCTACGAGGGAGGCATTTTGCAGTTTCGCTTATTCACTAGCTTCACAAAAGTTCACAAGTCTTCTGAAGAGTCACTAAGTGATTATAGGTCCGTTATTTGACTGCCATTATCCAACTAAGGCGGAGGTGGTGTAGTGACAAGTGGCGCGCTTACCACTCGCGCGGCGCCGGGTTCAAATCCCGGGTCGACTCCCGCCCAGGGCCAACCAAGCCTTCTACCCTCCGGGGACGGTAAATTGGTACCAGATTCGTCTGGGAGGATAAAACACTGACTTGTACATCGGCTGGCCACCGCAAGTCATTGTATAGGCCACATCGCATTCAATAAGCCACTACCATTCCGAATTTTCACTCTGGTGGAACCGGTGAACTTGTGTAAAGCTGGGGCAAGCTTTTCGAGCCACCCTGTTGGAACCCATCAATCCGTGAGCTCATGAAATAGCTGTCTAGATGGCTCGTCATGTCGATGGGAAGTAGCGAAATGCAGAATCCCCATCCCCCCCGGTCACCAATCTGTCAACCCTTGGTCTTACTGCTTCGGTAATCTACCCAGGAACGCACCATTTGTCTGGCAATCTTATACAAAATTGTGGAAACAACACCTGCTGTGTTAATACAACGAGTTTGGGAGACACATGGCCTCGGAACGGCCTCAACTCAGGTTTTTCTAGTTACAAAGCACCGATGAGTCATGCGTTGCACTAACAATCAGCTTTTTCGATTCGACATTCCGTCATAAATTTGGCCATTTCTCACTGCCGCCGTGCGCTGCAGAATACAAAGCAAGTGTTCTGGCGACCAGGTTGTGCGGGTCTACGGACAACTAGAACTCAGTCCCTTTGATGCCGCTAACTTTCTGTTTTTCTCTGCGCTCTCACGTCTGCATGACGTTCTAACCGTCTTTACCTTTCACCTTCCAACTTTCACGCCTAATAGGTTTCTCACTTACCCCGGCTCCCTTCGAAAAAAATCATCTCCTGGCTCCTGACATGTTTCTTTGTACCTCTCAATGCCCTGGCGAGCGCAGTTTATATTTTACTACTGCGCTACCACTGAAAGTGTTAGTTGTCACGTAATCGGTCCTACGAATGTTTCGTGACCAGTCGCCGCATCGTTTTGTCGCGCGCGACGTGTGGTTGTCGCATGTCATTCGTGCACATCGCGGATTTGTCGCAATGTGTACCAATGACGCACGCCTCAAGGCTATTAGGCACAAACATATGGTGCATGTCCCGGCCGAGAATTAATCAGCCCTCGACAAAAATTTATGACTGCTTTTTTACCGGACCTCTCATTCCGTTTCTACCGATCCTCTGAAAGCCTGACGATTACGCTTTGTCTAGGTACTAACACTTTGACGAGAGATATGTCTGTATTTGTCTTGCAAGCTGTTTTGGCTTGCAAGACAAAAACTTGCCTTTGACCATATCCTTCTTATTCTTTTGCCTTTGACGATATTCTTCTTATTCTTTGTACAGCATTGTTACACCACGCATACATTAAAAAAAACTCGCAATCCTTGTGCCATTATTTATACCCCCATCGGAACCCTGGACGCCGGATCCGATGCCTGCAGATTATTTTCCTGGCGCTGTTCGGCTTGGTCGGCTGGAGGGGCATCATGCACCTTCACTGGCTCTTATTGCTAGTTCATATTAACTAACAGGTTCCATCTTGGTGGGACCTGTGGATCCTTGTGAGCTGTGAAGTAGTTCGGATGGGTCACTTTAATCACAGGGTTTTCACAAGACAGCCTGCCCAGGTTCAGGAGTGTCAAGACTCCAAGATGGCGCCAATTGGAGTCCATCAAGCCTAACTGCGCCCAGTTTCTTCAGTCCAGTTGTTTGCAGTCACTGTTATAGCAACGGAGCGAATCTGAAGTTTCAATCAATCATAGGTTTTCATGTATCCATTATTGTATCGTTCTTTGATTGCATGCCTTGTATGCCCAAAGGTTCTTTGGCAGAATTGCACTGGGAGCAGACTCAAGTGGCCCTCTGCTCGATTTCTCGACAGTTGTTATCGTCGCAGTCCTGCGAGCTGGTGTCGGAAGGTGTCGAATAAGCCCACTCATAGCGTTCTCTACTTGTCGGCCTGAACCGGCCACGATTGGTGGAGATCGCAGCCAAGGGTGGGCTCAGTCCACACCCACTACCGCTACCAGCCCAATTGCACCATGCACTGTCCTATCTTGCGAAACTCACGTTGAATCCCCGCCAAACACGTATTTTAGTTCAGGATGTACACAGCGGTTGAAACGGAATTCGGGCTGAATATGCTCCGAAATGCGCCCGTCAACGATTCCCTGGTTGTGTCGCCAATCTCTGTGATTTTTGCCTTGGCGATGGTCCACGCGGGTGCAAAAGGCTCTACGAAATCTCAAATCAGCTCCATCATTTCTAAAGGTTTCGTCCAAGGTTTCCTCCAACAATCCTTAGGCCCCATACCAGAGAGCGACATCGAGGAGCACTATTCGAAACTCTCCAGCCAGATAATGAATGCAAGCCATGGTGTGAAGAGCCGAATAGCTAATGGATTTTTTCTGAAGTGGGTCTCTTTCTTGGGAATTTGCTTCCTAATCAAAATCGAATAATCATTCTCCATTAGTGGCCAGAAATTTCTAGCAAAGAGTTCCAAATCGAAAAGGATTATGAGCAAGCTGTCGAAAAGAAGTACGGCGCTAAAGTAGAAGCACTGGACTTCGGCCAAGCAGAGGAGGCTGCTAAGGTGAAACTCATCAATGTCAAGATCTGATCTAGAATTTCCTTGGTTCGTTCGAAGGGTTCTTCATTGATTGACCATCTTCAGGTCATTGACGACTTCATAAGTAAGACGACGGACGGAAAAATCCAGGACATGGTGAACGCAGCCACTGTTGAAGGTACTGTCACGGTATTTTGGAACTCGCGCAGCATGGGATAACATGGAGGCTATTTAAAAAGCGTCAACAAAACCGTGCAATCAATCCTGACAGTACAGTCCAAGCTGGCTGTGTGGACGCATAACTTTTCTGGATAAATGAACTGAAGGGGACTGTCATGACGGTTGCCCGATAATAGGCCTAACCATCCAAGAAAGATTCTCCCATTGCTAGTCTCGTACATCCATACCCCAGAGATGCGGTAGGCGTGGCTGCGTACTTCATTTCATTATGGTAAATGATGAGTCATTTACGGGCTATTTCAACTAAAGAATTGCCACCTGCTCTGTGTTATATGCAAAATGGCTTTGATTTCCTAAAACATAAGACCCCCTCCCCGGCACGAAGCACAAAAAGTACTTCACGCGAATGACGTAGCTAGCCCACCGCATCTCAGGGATTCGAATAATCTATAGTTTAGGAACTGCCAGTAACAGAATATTTCGTAGTGATAGGATGATTATTCACTGTTGCTTTTATTTGGAGGCTCAGCACAAAGAACACTGAAAAGCTTCTCGCAGGTGCATACTCACTTATTGTCAACGCAATCTATTTCACGGCTGACTGGGCATCGAAATTCTACAGAAGCTCGAATTCAAATGGAACATTCCACAGCGCCGAAGGAATTGAAAGACAGGTTGGTCAAAGCTAAGGTAACAACGTGTGATTTGAGTGATGGAAGTTTGCGAGGAATTTACAGCTCTCTAGAAAATATATTTATGTTCGCTGTAGATGGTGAGGGCTGGGTTTGAGGAGGCGCCGCAAGACTCTATTAAGGACTGCAGCCAGAGGTTGGCCCGCAGTCTAGACCACCACGTGAAGGAGCGTACAGTGAGGACGCTCTTTTGCAGAGATGTGCCATCTTGCTGGTGGACTGGTTAGGTTCCGGGAGGGCTCGAGATGGAATACACTAAAAGGCGAGAAATACGGAATAGTATGGATCTCTCGCAGCCGTTCCATAACAGTAATCATTTTAGATTCTTGCGGGAAGTCATGCTGCGCCAAAACTGCCTACGCGGTCCACGATGAGGTATAGAAGTTAAAAATACTCCGTCGGGAGGGTGGTGTGATAAACGACCCTGTACCGGCGAAAAATTGTTACGGGAGGTGCTCTAACGCAATTAGGTCCTGTGACGCCCCCTTTTCTCCACCACCTCCAGACTCCACCCTCCCGCCTTTCAATGGAAAACGAAGCTGCAGGACGAAAAAGCGTGAAAATCGTCACTTGGTCGTAGAGTTTTATCGGGATATCAGCTGTGCAGATGAGGGCCTAGCGTTGGAGATGGAGTTGATCAGGATCAGAATAGGGTTCTATCTAGGGCATGGCAAGGTTGATATGTTTTTTTTCTCTAGTATCAAGTTACTCATAGCCTTGTCGTCCTTGCAAGCCCCTAACCCACTATCTGTGATGGCGGACGATTGCGCTCGGCAAGCAAATTTTATTGCTTCATTCAAATATATATTTTTTCGCCGTCTCTTTCTGGTTGAGCGCAGAAATGCTATACTTTTCTATAGGTAGAATACATGAATGATTACGATGTGCACCGATTCTACGCTGAAGACGACGACCTTCAAGTGCTTTCCCTCCAGTATGCAGACACTTCGTTCGCATTCAATATCTTCCTACCCAAAATTAGGTGAGTTTATTGTCCTATAAGCAATGGATGCGACAAGGCGTTATTAACCCTACTGAGGCAATTCGGGGACGGCAAGAGGCATTTTGCACTTTTGCTACTTCCTGGGTTTACAGGTTTTACCACGGGGGGGGGGGTCAGCGAGCTCGCTCCAGCTTCACAAGAGTTTGCAGGTTTCACCTGAGTTAGATATGGAAGTCCTGAAGCAGTGAAAGTGCTAATTGCTCCCTCCCAACTCCGTCGCCCTTCTCATATATTTCCGATATTGTTCCAGCACTTGTATGGAGCTCTCAGAATGCTCGATGATGAGCTAGTTTCTTCCTTGAACCTCAAAATACAACCAACAGGTGAAATGGTGTAGGATTAGAACTCAACGAAAGCACAGCTACATGCCGTGCAAAACTCAGCTTCTTTGAAGCGCTCATGCTCCGCAGCGAACAGGACACCACAGACACTACCAGAAGCAAAATGACAAAGTAGTCGTAATATGTAACACTGGAAGGCGTGGTGAGTGACGCCGCGCTTGGAAGACTAGTAGTCCTGCCTGGTAACTTGAACCCACATCAAGATTTTGCTTGAGGCGCGGAGCCTGAATTCCCATAAATGCGCGTCTATGAAAGCTTCATTGTGTGAAGAGGGAGTGAAAACGACGACGCTGAAAAACTGTTACGAAAAGTCGAGTTCACAGCAGTTCCTTACAAAGTGGGCGGAGTTGCCCACGTGCGACAAACATTTCTTTTCAGCTAATCCTCGATCAGCTAATGTGTATTTGCGAAATATTAGGTTGTCCGGAAAGTTCTCAGCGTTTTGGGTGTTTCACTTTAAACGATCGTAACTTTTTTAATACTCATCGGATTTAATCGAAATAGGCA